CCCCACGGAAGAACAATGAGATTTTTTAAACTTCTCAACAAGTTTTGTAACCACCAACAGACTGATCTATCAGTAGTCAACCTTCTCCGTAGAAATAATTTCTGCTTTTTATCAAAGACAAAACAAGCACTACAGAAAAATCCTCAAGGCCCCGGGGATTGGCCTACCTATTGGGCGCGTCCCCAGGTGGCGGATAGGGGACCAGCCCGGGGACTGGAGGCCCTGTTAGGGAAGCCAATGTGGCCTTACGGACGGGGTCGCCGGAGTCCTGGTCAGTGGCAGAAATAAGTAAGGTAAGGGAAACTAAAACCCCCAAAAAGCCTTTGCAAAACATGACACCGTGGACCAGCCTACCCAAGCTAAGGTGTAAGGAATCGTGCCGATAGCTGAATGGCCGCAGGGCGATATGCGGTTACGAACCATCCCCCTTGGGGAACCGGGCGAAACCTCATTGTAATCAGCCTACCTCTGGTAATGCGGGGCTCTGCCAGAGGTGACCAACTCTTCCCTTGCTACTCGTGGGAACACACATGAATGAAACAACAGGGCTGAACAACAGAGGCTGAACAGAAGTGATCACCTCAATCTAAGGCGGTGGCTTGGGATGAACAGAAATGTCCTTGGAATGAGGCTGGATATAGCAGATCAGCTCCAACAGCAAGGCACTTCCTGCGGCGGGCGCCAAGAGCTCCGCCTTGATTAAAGGCAAGGAACCGGTTGCACCTGTAGGAAAGCTTCCTCAATTTTGCACCTCCATGGAGGGAACCCCAAGAAGGTTGAAGAAGCCGCGCAACAACAGTAATATCGCTGCACCTTCCAAAACCTTCGCGGAGGCCACCATGAGACACCTAGAGGTTGCCAAAGAGAGTGTGTGTTGGGCGAGTCTTGGCCTACACCTGCCAATATAAAGGAGATGTCTCCTAGTGACCTGTTCACCTTCCTGGAAAGAACAGTATGGACGATGCCCTAGGAGGACAACTCCTCGGGAGAATGTACAGTGAGAAAAAAAAGTTCGAGGTGTACTGAGTTGAACCTCATAACAATGAGCAGTCACAGTCCGTCGCATATTTCTGATATGTACCGCTCTTGGTGGAATCAAATGTGCCAAGTCACTTGAACACTTACCGTAAAAGCATCTATAGAAGAGAAAGACAAATCTCCAATCTTTCTTTGAAGTTCTAGACCATCAAGGTCTCTTTTCTGGATGCAGCTTAAGAGTATGTTTAGAGTCGGAGCTCCATACATGAGAACAAAACTTCAAAGAAGCTCTGATTCTGGTTCGAAACAGTGTTCCAAGCTTTCGAGAAGTAGCCTTTGCAATCCCAACGACATGATTGTGCCAAGACAAATTGATGTCCATTTCAACCCCCAACAAACTTTTCGAAGCAGAAAGCGGAATTATTATATCCGGTTTGGAGTCATTTAACTTTTTGGAGAAAACCGATGCCTGAGTTTGTGTTGTATCATAAGAAGTTAGTTGAAATGAGTCTCTAAATGGAAGTCATTTCACAGATCGGATTAGCAAATAATGTTGATTCTCGTTAGTTAATTGACAAATGTTTGTCCCTCTAACCTGGAGGGACAACCTGCAAACCGCTTGCTGACTTTGCCGAAAATTACGAACAGCAGAAGTGACCTTGATCAGTCGGGGTTCTAAGATGGCTTTCCAAGTCGTCTATACAGGCCTTCTCGACTCTGGTGAAAAGCAAGTACTCTGACATCAGTCTGTCAATGGTTCCCTTGACTGGATGGAATGATTTTGGTCGATGACATCTGTCATTTGGTCAAAAATTTCTATTCATCTTATGATTAAACATTATCTATCAATATTTTCAAGCATCAATGTATTCGGAGAGGTACATATATTAAGTGGTATCGTCATCTTAATTCTTGGTAAAGTTATTAGACTATATTTTTTCTAAATTGAATATTATCGACTTCTTCAATTTCATTTCCAATTCAAACTGTAATTTTTACTAAAGAAATGGTACCTATATTTAATCATATTACAATAGGTGACACAAAAAAATGGATTTTGAAAAAAATTCGAAGAGAAACCGTGATATGAGAGACTGGATTTTTATCATTCAGTTTCAGGAAATTATTATTAAAGATTAACCAAGCTGTTACAATAATCAATAATAGGTGCTGATCGGATAACTTTCAGTTTTCCTGTTCGGATTATTGCAACAGACTTGAGAACAATAAATAAATCAGTGCACAGATGTGGTTTCAAATGAAATGCGAACATTTACAAGTATTCGAAGTGATTATGAAAAAACATTGAATTATATACATTGGCACAAAAATAATTGTACAATTCAACTGATTTTACAAAAAGTTCCATAATTTATCAAAAGGGATCCATCATATTTCAAATAGATTTTATTGTTACATGAACCATAAAAATTAATTCAGAGACCTTACATTGTACATGTGCTTTACTTCCGAGTTCTGTCAATGGCTGAAAGTAGTTGAAAATAATCTTGATTTCCCAAATTTTGTACAAAAAGAGTTTTGAATACACTATTTTCAGTTATTGACAAAAATCGAGGGATGAAATTCGGTGTAGTGCGTTTACATGTGAGATACACTCTACAGGGATATCCTAAAGTTCAACATCGAAATGTTTGAAATGGATAGAATTTTAGGACTTCACTGTTTTCATATTGACAAATTTCGTGAAACTCTTTCAGTTCTCAACATAACTGCTGAGCCCAGATGAAAATTTTATGATGATTTTGTGATCTTAGAAGATAGACACTAAGTGATTGTGCAAAATAGTAGTGACAGGAAAAATTACATAATGGATATCTAGTTGTAACAATTCAATAACTATAACAATATTCATGTATTTTCCATTGACATTAAATGGCGACCTCCCGAGACATAAACACATAAATACACAAAACACATTTTAGCAGTTTGACCATAAGACTATAGTTTACTTACTTTTTTCCCGAAGTAATTTCTGAGTCCATTTGGTTTAAAAGAATTAAGCATGCAATTGTCTACTCACCTACCTGATCTTACTACTATGGAAGAACAGTAACGTCACATCAAAATACAATACTTATGGAACCAATCTATCACGAAACGTAGAGAAAATGCAGTAGGTTATAAAATTACAAGCTAAAACTTTAAACTCTTTAAAACAGCAGGAAATAGTAAAATAGTGGAATTTGATAATCATTTTTATATGAGGTACATCAAATGGCGACATTAAACCTTGAAATGAAAATATTCATTCAAATACTTTTGTCAATCGAAGTTGCTGGAACAAAGTCCATGAATTCACTGTACGCATGATAAATATAAATATAGATCGTATTGTTAAAAATTTTATTATTCAACATAAAATATGAGGATTGTAAAAGTATCAGCAGTCTCTGATAGGTCTCGTCATCGGAAAAGCTCTTTCTACAAATATGCTTCTCAGTCACTCCTCATTACTTCTCAAGAGTAGTAAAATGGATTCGGTAAGAGTTGCTATTTGAATCACGAATTATTATAGCAGCTTACATTCCATGCTTTTAATTCTCTCAGAACCAAAGATTCTTAGGGAAAGAAAGTTTTTGGCTTTCCACTACTAAAGTTGAATTCTCCTCTGAAAGAAAGATCTCAAAAATGAGCAGTGGAATTGGATCTGATCAAAACTGGATCAGGAATGTTTGAACATGGATGGTCTTGAATAAAACAGCCATCTATGAGTGACAACGTGAAGCCAAGCTGTCACTTCGGCTCATTTGACTTTTATCTACTTTGGAGAGTTTAGTTGAAGTCGAAAACAAAAAATATCATTATGGTTTGCCATAATAAAAAAAATGCATTTGCTATCGTTGCTACAGCACATGCTGTCTCTGTCTATGCTGCCAACAGTTGGCTACTTGTTAAGAATGTTATCATAACATGCCTTCTGAAATGGCATAAATACGAATATGTGAATAAAAAATGATGTATAATCATTTACTAATAACAGCTACTGTGTGATTTCTTGTAAAAAAAATTGGTCACAACTGAAAACATATTGATGAAGATTTTTATTGAGATTTTCAAAACCTCTTCCTGTTTGAGGTTCTGTTCTGGGAAGAGCTTTAGAATATAATTTTCACAGTTTATTCGATACAGAGGATGCCAATCCATTGCCGTTACTTCATCATCATCATCTTGAAACTAGTTTCAGTTTCTTATCAACCAGATCGTAGTACAAAAATTGAGGAGTTTATTCAAGTCACTTATAACCAATGTGCTAATTAATTAACCTTTATCTGAGTCTGTTCACGTTTGAATTTCAAAAGCTTCACTTCTAGAGACGAAAGTTCTCAAACTTCAAACCTGAAATGTTCAAGAAGATATGTTATGAAGTGAATTTAGCCTTCGACTTTTATCTCACAAGTTATATTCCAAATTATTACAATTTTTCAAGAGTGAACACTTTAGCATCGATTCAATTGGTTTGAGAAGAACTCTACTTAAATTTGTATACAAAAGAACGTTTCCTTCAATTCTCAAAACAAAACATTCATTTTCATAGCTGAAAGAATTGTCTTTTGTTTCTTTACCAGAATATTTTGTCAGCATGTATGAAGTTTCTGAATTTGAACCTTATTTCTTTCTCAACATTCCTCCAACACAATAAATGTCAATTCGTCATATTAGTTGAGTGTATCTGAACTATTATTTGAAAGTTTTTTATTCCCATTAAAATGGTTCCTCAAAAAAGTACCGACTAAATCTCCTGTTTGATATTTCAACATGAATCATGTTTTACATTGCGTAAGTAAATGAAATATGACTGAACTGGACTTTGAGTTAGTTCCTATATTCTTAGTTGCCTCTTGACAAAGAATCAGAAAAGTAGTTCTTGTCCCCACACAACGAATTTCGTTGTAAACATGATTCACGAAAAACCGCATGCATTTTCTCTAACGTTTCCCTCAAAAGTCCCCCCCACCTGACACCTAAAATAAAATCGAAACCGTGCGAATCTGGTGCAGTACCTTATAGATTGGCCCTTGGGTTGTGCGCAGTGAAGAGGCAGAGGAACCTGAGGCGGGACTAGATGCCGAAGTTTTGGGTTTGAACGCTGTCATAGTTTGCGACACACCGTCAGCTAGGATGAATTGCTCGCGCAGCTCTATGTTTGTGCGTCCTTTGGCTGTGATAGATTGAAAGGATGATGGAAGAAGTGGATTGGAATCGACGGGTTACGTTGAACGGGGATAAGTGAGAGAACGAAAGAAAATCGGGTAAATGGTGTCAGGTACGGAAAGAGGTGGAAGTAAACAAACAAAACAAAATAAGCAACACTCTAAGTTTTCTATATTCTAAATGATGCGATTAATTCTGTGATACTTTTCAATAATTACACTATTACACATAAAGTCGTTATTACCTAAATAGAAACGATATTATTGAATTTTATTTTCGATTTTGATTTACTGTTTCTAAAAATATAATTTAATATACAGAGTGACCTACAGAAATAGGTTCACGATCTGTGTGTATTTTTGACAGATGAAGGCTTTGAAAAAAGTAATACGATAACTTTTGATTGAATTGATACACACTTAAACTTTCATGTTTTTAACGGTTTTTATAGTCGAAACATATCCGGGAACACATACAGGAGAAGTCTTTATGAAGGGAGGGAACTAAAGAACTGTTTTAACGAATAATCTGTGGATAACCCAGATAATGTCCAGAAGAATATGACATATATCCAGGTATCTGTACAAACTAGTATAAAAAATAAGATTGTTGTAATGAGCGTCATATAAAAGCTAAGGGAAAATACAATAAGTCCATGAGGCTGCAGTGTTTTGCATAGTCTTGGGCAAAAGTACAAATCAGACGGATCCTGAGCAGTAGAAAAAAATATGTCAAATGAAAAATAAATGACAAAAAATGTTTTCAAACAATGTACGATGTAGTCGACAGGCATGGATCACTAAGTAGGTAGTAAGGTAGGTCCGAAGTGAGTGGGTTTATTCGACCCTCCACTGCAACCCCCGAGGGTTTATTGTGGCTCACACCTATTCGAACTCTACTAAATATGTTGAGATTATTGAGGAGGCTGATTACCTTATTCCATAAGTAATCTTTCAGGTTAGATAACAATAGTGGTCCGCGACGGGAAAGACTTTCTCATCACCTCCCAAACAGACACAGTACACACCATCTTCCAAGTTAATTGCCTTTCCTAACTTTCCATAGGAAGAATTGAAAACTGTAGTGTAAATTGAACCTTGTGATGCACTGTTTGGAGGCTTTGGTGTAGTAATGAATGTTACTTGAGTTTTTTCCCACACCAACATCTTCAAGAGGAAGATGATCACCAAGTGACCTTCTTCCTCTTGAAGATGATCACTTGGTGATCATCAAAATAATTTTCCCACACCAGAACAAAATACTCAACGCATCGAGAATGTTTTTTGTTCTGGTATGGAAAAAGTGTTTTTAGTAGATAATAATTTTTATTGAATTTCACCTAAGCCGTCTAATCGTACATACATTGATATATCAACAATATAGAATTAAACTTTTATGTTTTGGACAGTTTGTATAGTCAAATGAAAAACAAATAGTGAAAATTATCTTCAAAAATTGTACACTAATGAAAATGGTCAGATGTTATGTTCATAATATACAGTGTTTATTTTATTAGTTGTGATTTTTTTTTAATAATCGGTATATTACTGGAGTTTTTTCCCAACACCAAATCGTTATTTTTAACACATCGACACGTGTTTCGATCACCAAGTGATCATCTTCAAAGAGGAAGATTAAAAAACCTTTATACCATAAATAGGATTAGCTTCGCATTAATTTCTAGTTTTAATCTTCCTCTTTGAAGATGATCACTTGGTGATCGAAACACGTGTCGAGGTGTTAAAAATAACGATATGATGTTGGGAAAAAAATACAGTAATATTCATTACTACACCAAAGGTTCCAAACAGTGCATCATAAAAACTGGTATATTGTGTATTGTTGCCCATCCCATATCAATTGAAAGTAACTTCTGACATAGTTTTGGAATCAACTCAACAAGGTTACTTCAGGAATTAGAAAAAGGGAATGTTGCAAAGACAGTGGTGACGTTTGTTTGTGTGAGGATTATTATCAAATTAATTTATTTTTTATTCAATTCACATACAAGAAGGCTCCCTTGTACTGAAAAACAATACACTCCGTTGTTTAATAAATGAACTAATTCGATCAAAAGTTGTAGGTGGTTAAATACCAATGAATTATTGATGAAACAAATTCTTACAATATTTTTGACTTATTGTATAATACTTATACATACGTAAGAATACATTATGATAGTTATAGTTGAAATGTAAGTATTCGAATAAAAGTTCATAGAGAGAAAGCAACTGTTTAATATTGAAAAGTATCACGTAGAATGCGGTGCTTATATATGGAACTGAATATAACTTTAAAGATTGTAGTACCTATATCATTTTCAATACTTAAAATAAAAAAAGTTATCAAAAAAATTATATTCAGTTGTCAAAACTATAATATACAAAATGAAAAACCATAGAATAATAATTGAAACCAAAATCAAATTGTGTATGTGTTTGTGTTATACCAAAAACAAAAACATGCGATTAGTAGACACCAAAACTAAAATGTTAACAATATCATACGGCTCTGTAGCCTCCAATCTGAACACTCCTAGATCGAAATCAGTGAACATATCAATTCGAAATACAAGAGCAGCCAAAAAACTGAATATCAAATAATAATAATATCCAAATGAAAACGTATTACTAGGCCGCAGAAGCTATCAAGTCGTTCAGACTGGAGTTTACTTGTGCCAATTTTCTTACCCAAGGGACACCAAGGCTCGTGCTGTTCGGGTATATTAGGATGAGGTAGTGGTAAAACTAACGTGACTAAACATTTTTTGCGACATATACACAACAGTGAGCGAAACAAATTGTTAAAACAAAAAACGTCGCGGAACATAAGCATAACATAAAATGGTGGTTGCCAAATAAATGTTAAATTAACGTTTGTGTGGGGATTGTTTATTTTTGGAAGGGGGAAGAGAAAATTTTTATTAGTACCAATGAATAATGAAGCAAAGAAGTCTAACACTGGACTGTAAACGAACACGAAACTGACTTTTTTTCCTGTTGAATGAATATGCAGTGTGAGACTTCTTTCAGTTCTTAACGCTTTTATGGCCATGTACACAGGATGTGTAATTTTGTGAGTGATGAAGGAAATGAATATGATATTTAGCTGAGAAACATAGCGATAAGCTCAAATTGAATTTATTGCAGATACTAGCGTGTACACTATTTGCTTTTACCTTACAAGTGTACTCTTAGGACTTTACCATTAGCATTATTCTTTCAGTCTACAGCAGATTAACTAATGAAGATAGTGAACTATTCACAATTTGAGCACTAATCATCATCAATTCGGCAACATCAAATCTGGGTAACTGCATTCGATTATGTTTTGTCTCAATAAGCCTAGTTACCTTGATTTGAATGCCGAGATATTATTTTCCTTCAATTGTTTCTCTGAAATCTCACCAATTAAAAAGTAAACGTTAGAGTATGTACGAGAGGTTGAGGTTTATCACGAATAGGAGATTAGAAGCCATATAGTTATTAATTATTCTCAGGAGACGTTTCAATGTTAATGTGATTAATACATGAATTGATGTTAATAATTGAATTAACTGGAAAATTTTGAATTATCAAAGCAGTTAATGAGTATTGACTGAGATATAAACAATGAATTGATTATTTTTGATATTCCCTGTATTGAAGTAATGAAATACGTATCTGGGGTCACACAATTGAATAAAAAGTGGTAATTTTCGTGGAATATACATGATTTTGTGCAGATTTGTATGTTTTTGTGAATGCATGTGTAATTTTAATCTACAAACACTTTTCAATCATGTTTTCAAGACAATGTTGAAAACAACTCACACCAATAGAAATATCTCTCCATTTTCTAATCACCCAACTGAAATATTGTGTGAACCCAGATATTTCTGTCAGACTTTTTTTCATCAAATCACAGAAAAGGCATGTCTAACATTAATACAACATAGTAGTATTCCAGCAAATTCCTTTGTTTACATTTAGATCGTGAAGTTGATGGAGCGAAAGAAAATCTGGCAGAAATTCAGATTTATTGTGAAGGTTGAATTCGTTCTTATGAACAGAATGTAACTTACCTCTGCAGGGGTCATTCTTTACTAGGAACTCATCCAAAGCTACCCAACCACCTCCGACACGTACCATAACGGTACTTCGGAGAATACGTACTAGTCGTAGTTTTTGACTTTCTCCAAACTGCGACAAAAAATTTATATCAACTCAATATTGATGGAAAGTTCAACAGAAAAGTTGCAATATATATTATTTGATCAATTGATTTTTCATTTATTTTTTATTCTGTGATTTCAAGAATAAATTACAATCTTTGGGAAAAAAAGTTTTTGGCTTTCTACTACTCCATCTTGATACCAAAAAAAAAGGATGAGGGAATCTTCCAAAGAAAGGAAGGAAGTAATCAATTTGAAAATAAGTAACTCTATGAATTGTGTGTATTTTCTATAATGTTATCCAATTTGGTACTGAAGAGCCTTGGGGCAAGTGTCTTAAGGCGAAACATCGATGTATACCAGTGAGGATGACAGTGTTCCATGTAAATGCAATTCATTACCATTCATTCAAAGTAGAACTCATGTGAATGATATCTGATTTTTATTCCACAACATCTTTTTTTTTGTATCAAGATGGAGTAGTAGAAAGCCAAAAACTTTTTTTCCTAAAAATTATTCACTCCTAAAAATATAACCCCTTCAATTCAAATTACAATCATTTTGGATTTATTTACCCATCATAATTATACTCAATTTCTATCAGGAAATGTAACGACCAGTATAACAGAAATTTTTGAATGAATTTTGACAATCTATTCATTAAATCTGCCGTGTGGACAAAACTTCTGAATAAATATGATATCAAATTTTTCCCTTCATAAACTTTGTTACAAAAAGGAAAACAATAAACAGTTTGGTTGTGTTGCTAACACATCTATGGTTAACCTCGAAAAATAGAAGTACAGCATGTCTTTTGTAAAGGTATACATCTTCAGAACAATTAGTTCCATTAGGTGTTCTCCTGGGTTCCAACCTGGACCCCCTATTGTTAATTTATTAATAACGATCTGATCGATTCTTTTAGTTGTGAGAATATGTTCTTTGTTTATGACTTGAAGGTTATTTCCTGCAATTGTCTCAATAATTGCATGTCACTGTAAGAACTATAATTATTATTCTGAGCAAAAACAGAATCCTAGATCCAAATACTGGTATATGTATATACTACACCTCATATATTGCAACTATAACATGGATAACATAAACTTGGTAAAATGTAGGTCGTTGGTTTATGAGGTGGTGTTTCACCCTGTGGACGTCCTGGGGCTCGATACTGAAGTCTTATCGTGTTAACCCTCCCCTTTCCTTCACCAACCCCTATCTTGCTCCCACCCACTCCCGTTTGTGGGAGAGATGTAAATATTGTATGTATACTCTGTACATTGGACCTTAAATTTATTATAGATAAATAGGCAATAAAGAATTTTTGGTTTGGTAAAATGTAGGAAGATTTTGGTATCACTTTCAACGCAAACTCGATTTTTTTTATTTTGCAAATATTTCATCACAAGTATGGCGGCCTTAGGATTAACAATCGCAAGTTGTATTTTTTTTTAATGTCCTTCCTCTTGTCTTTTCAATACTATATTATAGCTTTATCAGGCCAAAACTTAATGTGGAAAATCCACACCAGATACTGCGGAGAATTTTGTGAGATTTTTGATGGTGTATACCTATTCAAAGGTGTAGATCAGAATTATTCACTTGACTGACTCGAGGTGAAGTCTATGAAGTATTCAAAAAACAACTACCTACCCTATATTTTCCTTCTCCAACTTGGAAAACTCTAAACTTCTGTCGGCAAGTACACAGCATAACTAATCTCTTGACCTCGTCATGGATTTTCTGGGCATCATTATCAGGAGTTTTCTCTTCCCAATCCGGCCTTAGTGCCGCAATGAATTTCTTCCAGTCAATCAGTCCTCTGTTGTTTTCGTCGAACATATCGGCAACATGTTTCATCTCCAGGCGAGAGGTGTCGAATTCTAGAATAAAATTAATTTTCAGTTACACAAGTAGCAAGCAATTTGCCCTCGAAACTTACTAGTTTTGATGATGCCCTCGATGAAGTCATCTCTCGGAATCAGCTCGTTATTGTCCTTGTCCATCTTCCTAAACAGATCCGTGAGCCTGGACTTCTTGTAGTTCATGAACTTGAGGAACCTCTTTCTCCAGTCGTCCCACGAGAAGTTGTCTGCCTTCTCCTTCTCCTTCAGATAAGCCAGATGGTCATACAGTTCTCTTTGTCTCTCCCACGACAGCATCCAAACGTGGCGCCACTTGTCGTAGAGGAATTTAACTCTCGGTGTGCGGAATTCCGGTTCACTGAATTTGGGAGGTCGTAAATTAGAATAAGATTCTCGCGAGTGTCAGAGATAGAATGTGCAACGGTACAACGTAAGGTTTTGAGATGGGATGTGTAAGAAGTTTCCAACCAAATTGGAGGGTTTGAAAAAATTGATTCATGCTTGTGGCAGTTACCGATAGGTAAATGTTTATGATAAAGAAGCTATAGAAGTTTCTCCGAGAGGGTTATTTCGCAAAATTTTGTTCACTTTTTCCAACTAGAGCTATACTAACACCAATAATGATTGAGAGTAGAAGTAAGCCCAGTTGACAGCAAATCGGGGGCGTGCTTATTAATTTTTGAGAGGGTTAAGAATGAAAGAAAAATTCTTAGTACAATTAGTTAA